CTTAAAAAAAAAAAAAAGAACATTTTCAATTTCTCACCTCATTTATTGTACATTCGCAATAATAGGCTATATAAGTAATCTTCATAAAATTTCCAAAGCTATTCCATATATATATTATTATCATCTGTAACAGTTTTTTAATATCGATCGTTCTTTGGATCTCTACGTATATATAATATGTATGTATTATTATGTAAATCATAATTGTGAACGTATACGTCAATAATTGTACGTTATAAACATTATTCGTCATCTTCGACACATTGGAAAGTTGTAATTGCGCCAATCTTAAAAATTTTTTTAAATTTATAAATTTTACCAAATCTTTTTATTCGCCCGGAATATTTTTAATTAATTCAAAATTATTTAATTTCGATCGAATTTCATTTACCTAATTTGTTGAACCAGACGAATTTTCTCCTCGGATTGTGATTCCTGTTTCAAACTTGGAACGTGGTTCACAGGAAATATTTGGGAACCTCGTAAAAAACGTTCGAATGACCAACTGTTCAATCGAGATCTATTCCTAAAATTAGGATTCGACTTGAGGATCGCATCCTCCTTTGATTCCTTCTCCATTTTCGTTCCATCGTTCCCCGATAGAGTCGTTTCGAGCAGTTGATTCGTCTGTTCGAATCTTAACCTCAACCAACTGCAATTTTTGAAAATATCAATTTGAAAAATTCAAAGAAATATGAAAATTGATAGATTATAATTTGATATACATACTGTATGAATATGTCGTAATCGTACAAAGCGAGTGACTCGACATTCGTGATGTAAACGTAAGAAAAAGTGATAATTATTTCAGATATTCTTTTTTTGTATTTTAATACGAAGTTCGAGAATAATCCTATTAATATAATCCAATGGATTAACCATATCAATCCTGTGATCTTTACTTTACGATACACGCTTTGATACTCGATTTCAATCCCGATTTCTTTCAAATTTTCGTCCACTCGATCGATGCGATTTCGTAACGCGATCATATCCTGGACGAGAAACGTCAAAAGTCGAAAGTTTAATTTAATTCGAATAGGAAAAAAAATTTCTTTTTCGTTCTCAATAAAAAAAAAAAAAAAAATGGAAATTAAGAAAACTGAAGATTCTCACTTCTTTGAAGATCCATTACCTTCGATTTATACCAACTCGTTATTATTATAATTATGTATCCATAGAGAAAAATGAAAAGTAGAAACGTGTATGTGATGCGTTCTTTGTTGTACGGCATGCCTCTTAAATTATATATTTCCAGATAGAATATGAAATAGATATACGTGAAGAACGAGATAATATTATAAATCCAACTGAGCAAGAATTTCAACAGACTCTTTTTCATATTCTCGTAATAACGGAACAATGTCGCATAAGATAACACGATTATTATTTTTGTCGCTTCCTCGTAACTTTTTTTCAACATCCTTGTTCTCTTATTCTATTCTTTCTATTTGGAAAAATTAAGAAACGAAAAATTAATAATAAAAAATAAGAATAAAAATTGACGATATTGTTACATGTGAAAAATATATGAATCTACGCGGATATTTTAAAGGAGAATTATCGAGAAAAGGTACGATTATTCTGTTCACTCAGTGTTAATTTATAGATTAATTTAAGGTTAATTTATAATAAAGGAAAAAGAAAAAAAAAATATCGTACGAATTAAACACTCGTGCGTTGTAATTTTTATCTGTTAATTTTATTATCTGTATTTAAATCGAGGGTAAAACGACATCAACGTTGCTCGTTTCTTCGTTCGACTAAAGGTTGAAGGTTGACCCAGAAGAATTGCAATTGCGCATTTACGTAATTGCAACGTAAGAAGGAGTGCGATGATAAAAAAAAAAAGAAGAAAAAGTAATTCATTTCATCACACCAAGACATAAAGGCTTGAGGATATAAGTTGGCCAACTAATGCAATTTCGAACGATTGCGATCAATTTAAAATATTGCTCTAAATTGCGTCATTTTAGTTACGAGAAAAAAATGTTCTAACTTCTTTTCTAAATATTGTATATCAATTGCTTGTCGTTGAGATAATAAATTGCGAACAGATCGATATTTCAAGATCAAGAGCTTTGAATATGTATATATAGAATTTTTATCACTTTTATTGTATCGTATTTTATTATTATATATTATCGTAACTCATTATGATTCTAATCATGGTTTAAAATTTTCAATGATAAAATTTTCATTTGCAATAATGAAACAGTCTGATAGATAGAACTTCCGATAATTTTACATTTTTATATTACGTTCTACATCTGAAATTTCTTTTTTACTGGATAATTCCCATTTTCCAGCATTTTTTTTTTTTTTATTCAAAATTCAAGATATATAAGAAATATCTATATATCCTTTAAAATTTATTTATCATATCATATAAAATTAAAATGCTATCTGAAAATTGTTTTTTACTCAACAAAATTCTCATTTTCCATTTTTTTTTCTTATTCAAGATTCGAGATATAAGAAATATTTGCATTTCCCTTAAAATTTATTTATCATATCATATAAGGTTAAAATGCTATTTGAAAATTCTTTTTTACTCGACAAAATTCTCATTTTCCAGCATTTTTTTTCTTATTTAAGATTCAAGATATAAGAAATATTTGCATATCCTTTAAAATTTATTTATTATTAAAATTATTTATTATTAAAATTATTTATTATATCATATAAAATTAAAATACTCTTTTATTTGTTCAAATTTAATAATAATTAATTATTTTAATTGAAACGAAGAAAATGAAAACGAAAACTTCGAAACCTCGAGTTAACCTCTTTTTTTCCTTAACTTTTTAAGAACACGACATTTCGTCATCGACTGAAACGAAAAAAATAATTCTGTTTCGCGTAGAGAAAAAATAGAGAGAGAAAGACGAAAACGAGAGGAAGATCGATGAGCCGTGAAGTTGGAACGTCGAGCTCTCTCGACGGTCGAGGAAAGTCTAGTTTCGTAGGACGATGATCGGTAAGTGGCGAGCCCCCACGATTCGGATACAGAGGAGAGTTGAGGATTTAGAGGATACGCGGACTCGTGGGGCGTGCGGGACCCCTTGGGAATCGGGCTAATCCACGGAACGAGATTGATTTAAGAGTTTCGATTTGCGAATAACTGCGCTTCGAGTGTCGCTTGGAGGGAAAAAAAAAAAAAGAAAAAAATTGGTGAAACAAAGGAGGAGAATACGATGTTCCAATTTCCAAAGAATTGGAAATGTTTTTATATAGGAGATAATTAAAAATTTGCTCTAATTGCTCGATCCTATTTTAAGATAAAGATGTATCCAATATATATATATTTATAACGCGTTGAATTCTGATATATTAATTTAATGTACATTTACAGACATAAATAATAAATTGTATTAACAAGAACGAAACATGAATTTTTCCGACAGTTTCGATTGGATTATCTACAAGAGAGTATATCGAATTATACGAATATATATATATATAATAAAATGAGTTAAAAAGAGTGGAAAAAGATTTGTATACTTTCTTCTTGTATATTCGATATTCGAGCCGGATGATTCGATTCTGCAAAAATAGAGTGATTCCTGCTCGGTAAGGGTTCAGGCCTCGAGGACGTGGTTCAAGTAAGCGATGTAGCAGATGGCGAGCCGAAGGATCTCGATCTTTGACAACTTTTTGTCCGGTGGCAAGGTCGGCAGAAGCTTTCGAAGCTCCGCGAAAGCTAGATTGAAAGCTTCTACTCGAACCCTTTCTCTGCGAAAAAATCAGTGTGAACGATGATTAAGATTCGAAGGTTGTTGAGAAGAGAAGTTGAAATTATTCGATAGAATCGATCTTAATTTTTTTTTTTCTTTTTTAGTGACTCGATTTTATTTTAAAAGAACGAATAAAAGGAAGAAATCAAGGAATTAATTGTCGATTAAAGTATTTAAGAGCTGCTTTAATGAAAAAAGAAGATAAATATTTTAAAAAATGGAGAAAGAAAGGAGAAGTTCTTTAAAATAAATGTTAATCAAAAAGTATTTAAGACCCGCTTTAACTAATAAGAAATGACAAGGAATGATAAATATTTATAAAAATGTATAGGAAAAGTTCTTTAAAAGTAAAGAAATTTGAAAAAATGGAAGAAATCAAGGAATTAATCAATCAAATTATTTAAGAGCAGCTTTAACAACTAATAAAAGAAATGATAAGGAATGATAAATATTTATAAAAATGTACAGGAAAAGTTCTTTAAAAGTAAAAGAATTTGAAAAAATGGAAGAAATCAAGGAATTAATTGTTAATCAAATTATCTAAGAGCAACTTTAACAACTAATAAAAGAAATGATAAGGAATGATAAATATTTATAAGAATGTACTGAAGAAGTTCTTTAAAAGAATAAAGGAAGATAAGATAAAAGGAAAATTAATCAAAGTATTTAAGAGCCGCTTCAACGATTAATAACAAATGACAAGAGATAATAATCTTTTAAAAAATGTACAAGAAAAGTTCTTTACTTCTTTACAAGTAAAAAAATTTAATAAAAGAAAGAAATCAAGGAATTAATTGTTAATCAAATTATTTAAGAGTCACTTTAATAACGAACGACAAAGAGTGATGGATATTTATAAAAATATAGAGAAGAAATTCTTTAAAAGTAAAAGATAAAAGCAAGAAATTAATCAAGAAGTTAATTGTCAATCAAACTATTTAAGAACCGCCTTAATAATTTAGAAAAATTAATAACGTCAAGGGATGATAAATATTATTAAGAAATATATACAATAGAATTATCAATTATATTTTTTTTCTTGCAAAAGATGAGATTTTTTTTTACCTCGTGGCGTGTGCAGTTCGATACTTTTGCGTCGCTCTTCTGCGTCGACGTCTTTCTTCCCTCGAAAGAGTGCCGGCACCAGGTGCACCAACCCCGTTCACTACCACACCGTGTCCACCGTTCGCCATTTTCTCTCCGATCAATAGAAATTCTCCCGTCGAAACAGATAATTTCTTCCTTCCTCTTTCTCCCTCCACCAAATTCTCATTCGTTCTCGCACTCGAGACTAATCGTTGCAGGAAACGTGGAAAGATGAAGGATGAAACCGTCCATTTTTATACCCTTAATCGCTGAAACCGAGATCCCCATTCGTTCTTACGAATACGAACAACAATTACGAATCGAAAAATAATTTATTAATTCCTGTAATTCTGAATTATAATATATATATATATTGAGTCATCGTTCCTTCGAGACTCGACTTCGTCTCGAGGGAACGAGGGAATTCAAGGGTAAAAGGGTTTTTCCGGGGAAAAGTAACAAGTTAGGCAAATATTTGTCCATATACTTATACTCGATTTTTCACACGCGTGAAAAATGATCGACGAAGAAGGGGATCGATTCTTATTTTTAATTCGTCTCTATCTTTATACAGGATTAATCGAAGAACGGTGTTCTTTGTGAAGTAAAAATAAAGAGGTGTAATGATATTTATAAACGAGGAAGATCCAATGAATGTGAAAGGAAAAAAAATAGTTTCGACGATCTCTCGAGGGACTCTTAAATTTCGAGGCGAAACCGACGAAAGATGGTATTTCTATTATTCAAAAAAAATTCCTCGGCGCGGGACACGAGAAACCCATCCCTTTTTAATTATTCACACGGAAACAACCCTTGGTCTCGTTCGATCTGATTTTTATGGTAAACCGGCAATTCGTATGGACATCTTCCCGGGTTTTCTTTTAATATTTCAAAAAAATTCCCCAGATTTCCACTTGTCGTTCCACCTTTTATTGCCACCTTTCCATCGCACAATTTCATCTCGTATGCTCACGTGTCCGATTCGTCACTTCGAATTTGTGACTTCTTTAATTTATCTTGTTTTTTTTTTTCTTCTTTTATAATTGAAGAAAATTGGTAAGAGAAAACAGAAGAGAAATTCAGATACTCACCGAGAAATCAACGTGTGACTTTCATCCCCCATCTTCGATCAGTCGTCCACCTTTTTAAGATGATTCATTTCCTCCCCCTCGATATTTTAATATTACCGTTTTCGCTCTAAAAAGAGAAAGTATTTTGTTCCTTGCGATTATTTACAGATTATTATTATTATTCTCATATAAATTCAATTCGGAGGAAAAAGGTTATGTACGCGATTCGATCGAGTAATTTTTAAAAAAACTTACTTTTTATCAATAGTTTCACCAGATCGTATCTTAACGAAGTATCATCACCGATAATCAAGTTCCTCTTTGCAATC